AGTCCAAAGAATCTGCTCTTAAACTACTAAAAAATAAATAAATTTGGGGAAGTCATAGTGTACAACATCAATATATTAAAAAAATTGTATTAAATTGATCAAAAGCTACTTGTTAAAACACTTAGAAAAGTAAAAATTTAAGAATAGCATTTATAATTGCATCAAATGACATCAAAAAATATAAACTATAAAATATTGCTATGAAACATTAAAAACATGTAAAAGTAGAACTATATATGTTCACGGATTGGAAGGCTCAATATTATAAAGTTGGCAATTGCTCCCAAATTTGATCTATAGATTGAATGCAATTTCAAACAAAATCCTAAAATCTTAATGTTTTTCTTAGAAATTGAAAAATTGCTTCTAAAATTTAAGTGTAGATGCAAAGGGCCTAAAATAGACCAAAAAGCCTGTAAGAAAAAGTTATTGGATTTCCTACTACCAAATGGCAAGACTTATTACAAAACTACCATAATGAAAACTGCATGGTATTTGCCACGAGAATACACAAATAGCTCAAAGAAAAAAAAGAGAGTTCCGAACAGACCTGTGTATGCTTGATTTACAAGGAAGATGGTACTGTACAAATGTGAAGAAAGGTTCATCTCTTGAATAAATAGTGTTAGATCATCTGATTATTATTATTGGGAAAAAATGAAACTTTATCCCTGTCTCATACCATATACAAAAAATTAATTCCTAGTGGTTTATAGAACTAAATTTATTAAGAAACAATAAAGTTCATGGAAGCTTACATAGGAGAATATTTTATAATCTTAGGATGGGAAACATTTCTTAAACAGAAATAAAATCACTCATCATAAAAGAAAATATGAATAAATTAAGGACTCCTTTATCAAAAGACAGAGACAATTTTTCAGAGACTGAAAAAATGAGCCAAAAAATAAGAAGAGATATGTATAATGTATAACTGATAAAGGACCTAATACCCAGAATATTTTTTAATATCCTATATATCAGTGAAGAAAATTAACTACTGTTTTACTAACTAAAGTCCATACTATATTCAGATTTCCTTAGTTTTTTAAGAGCAATATTAGGTTTAGAGAAAAATTTAGCAGAGTTCCCACCTATAGTCAACAATACTGTATTAATGCACTTTAAAAAAAAATTTTTTTTATTTCAGCATATTATGGGGTACAGATGTTTAGGTTACGTGTGTTGCCCTTGGTTCCCCCCTGCCCAAGTCCGTGTTTCAAATATGTCCATCCTTCGGGTAGTGCGAAAATTTGTAAGAGAGGCAGGATGCAGTGGCTCACAACTGTAATCCCAGTGCTTTCAGATGCTTGGGCAGGAGGGCCAGGAGTTTGAGGCCAACCTGGGCAATATAGTGAGACCCCCATCTGTACAAAACATTTAAAAATTAGCCAAATGTGGTGGTGCACACCTGTAGTCCCAGCTTCTTGGAAGGCCAAGGCAGGAGGATCACTTGAGCCCAGGATTTCGAGGCTATAGTGAATTGTGATCATGCCACTGTGCTCTATCCTGGCCAACACAACAAGACCCCATCTATACAAAAAATTTAAAAATTAGCCAGGCATGATGGCACACATCAATAGTCCCAGCTACTCAGGAGGTGGAGGTAGGAGGACACTTGAGCTCAGGAGTTCGAAGCTACAGTGAACTATGATTGCGCCACTGCATTCCAGCCTGGGCAACAGAGGAAATCCTGTCTCTAAAAAAAAACCTCCCACATTAAGTGTTCTTATCACAAAAAGGAAAAACAGGAAAACTTTTGGAAGTGCTGATTATGTCTATTACCTTAATTGTGGTGATGGTTTCACAGATGTATGTATATGTCCAAATTCTCCAAATCATCAAATTGTGTACATTAAATATGTGCAGTTTATTTTATATCAATTATACCTCAATAAAGCTGATTTTAAAAAAAAATGCAGAAAGTTTCCATATACCCTCTCCACCATCACCACCCCCACACAAGGTTTCCCCTATTATGAACACATTGCATTAGTGTGGTTTATTTGTTACAATTCATGAACCAATATTAATACACTGTTATTAACTATAGAGCATAGTTTACATTAGGCTTCACTGTTTGTATTGTACAGTTCTATGGATTTTGACAAATGCATGTCATATACCCATCATTATAGTATCATACAAAATAGTTTTGCTGCCATACAAGTGCCTGTGCTTCCACCCAGTCATTTGCCCCCACTCTCCCTGAACCCCTGGCAACCACTGATCTTTCTCCAGAGTTTTGCCTTTTCCAGAACGTCATGTATCTGGAATCATACAGTAGGTAGCCTATTGAGACTGGCTTCTTTCACTTAGTAATTGCATTTAAGACTCCTCCAAATATTTTCATGCCTTAATGGCTCGTTTCTTTTAGTCTACCTGCTAGAGAATAATTACTTTTTATCACCAAATAATATTTCATTGTATGGATATACAACAGTTTGTTTGTCCATTCACCTATTAAAGGACATCATAGATTCCATCTGTTCTTTAATATGCTTACCCAGTCTTGGGTAAGGCAATTGGGAAGCACAAAAAGGAATAGGCAAAGACCTCATCTCCCAGCGGGCAGAGAGGCGGTGGAATATACAGGGGGTTGTATTTTACCTTCTGCTCTGATGATGGAGATAGGAGGGGGAAACAGAGGTCCTGAAAATCCAGGAGGAGCAGAGGAAGTGGCTCTGTTGTTCTTACCTGTGACAGAGAATGTGTTACCCCAGGCTCAGCCGTCCCAGTGTGATGAAGTTGAGCTTGTTCTGAAGCCAGGGTCTGTCTGTCAGACTGAAGTAGCCCTAGAGGGTCCGTGGGTGTAGGGGATGCCCGCTCAGGGGGACTCTGTCAGTTCCAGCTGCGAGCACCACTCCCTGCGGCATTTTTCCCAGGGCCCCAGCTGTTGTAGAGGAAACTAGGTGTAGCTCCCCAGAGCAGGATATAGTCCTGGCATCTTCTTGCCTGAGCCTACAGGGTATCTCGGTCTCTGAGAAACCTCTCCTATTGGGGTAGCCACCATTTTAAGAAGTTTCTCTGCTCCCGGGGCCTTGTTGTGGGCCCGCTTCCCCCATTTCTCCTCTTGTCTGTCCCCATCCGGGTTATCAAAGACCTGGAAGGCTAGGCTTAAAGTTCCACTTGTGGAGTCTGGGGCCTCTTTTCAAGATTTTTCAGTTTATGCTGAATATTTGGGGCCGACTGGGAGATGAAGTGCATTGCCAGGATGGATCGTTCCTTCCGGGTGTCAGGCCTTGAGTAGTAAAGAGGACAGCATGAAAGGAAAAGGACTGGGTTTTATCCTGGCTCTCAGGGATTTGCAGTGTCTTTTGACCACTCAGCCTCCCAAAGAGGGAGTTGGTGTACAGACAGGGAGGGAGGCTGGCTCCCGGGCAAGAGTGGTGGAGACAAAGAAGAAGGAAGAGGAGGAGAGGGAATGGGGGAGCTGAAAGAGAAACCTTATCTGGAAAGTGAAGACAGCGAGAGAAGCAGGAATAAGAAGTAACATGTGGCCGGCAGAGTGAAGATTAGGATTTCCAGCAAGTTTAAAGAAGGCCTGAACATAGAGACCTTTAGACCCCCTTGCCATGCCAACGGCAACCGACGGTTGAGTGGCAGAATAGCATTATGATTAAGAGATCCATTCTCAGGACAAATTTCCTTGTCGTGTAATGTAATGTTGCTCTTGAAGGCAACTAGGAGAAAGAAAAGGGGAGGAACTTTAGGAATGGCCATAAATCGAGACACTAACACCAAAAGCCTGAGTGGGGCATCCCCCACTAGATGACCTTTGAGGTGCTGATCAGACATTGGGCATCCCCGAGTTCTGAGTCAGACCTGAAACGAAATGTAGGGTGCTGGCCAGAAGGCGGGCGTCCCCGAGTCCGGGTCCAGACCAAAACCTAGAGAAGAGCTTCCCCATGCCAGGCGTCCCTGGGTCTTGGTGAAGTCCGGGAAGAGGTGGCTAGGAAGCATCCTTCCCAGGTACCTTTCCGAGACTGGCGGATCAGTAGCAGAGTTTGAACCACAGAACTGCCGACTCTTTTTCAAGTGTATGACCATTTCCAAAGCCCTAGAGACTTACCAAATTCTGAATGAGGACACTGAGAATGAAATCCTGGGAGCTGTGCCCCAGAGGAGGAAGCAGTCTCAGGACAGAAGCTGAGAAGTGAGCTGAGAAGTGAGCTCCTTGTACGGAGGCAGAGAAGTGACTCAGTTTCTCCTCCCTGTATGGGCCACCAAATGTCAGGGCGTGAAGTCCGTGCATGGGGGTAGAAAGAATTCTCAGTGATTAGGATAAACAGAAGTGAAAGTTTATTTATTTTTCTGAGAAAGAAAGAGAGAGAGAGAGAGAGTGGCCACGACACACAGAGGCAGGAAAGAAATGTCGGGCGGCGAGGACAGTTGCTCAGTGCTTTTAAAGGGTAGAAAAGGCTTTTTTTCCTCTCTGTTTCAGGGCACTGATAACGAAAGCGGCTGTGAAGCTGCTGTGTTGGCTTTTTCTGTTTCTCACATAGCAGATTGATGGCAGAAATTATTAATAGTCTCTTCCTTCTTCTTAATAGCGGGAGGCACCCGGCACTGTCTCTTCCTGAGGAAGCAGGGGAAGTTCGTGCTCCTACTGTCCACTCAGGAACTTTCTCGAGGCTGAGAAAGAACTCACAGATAACGAGGTAGGCCACACATGTTTTAACTGAACAAAGGGTAGTTGTGTTGTGATTTTATTTCTCTTACTTTCTGTTTGATAGTTTATTTTCCTCTGTTAGCTAGGTTATAAGTAAGACTACCTTTCAGGTGGTAAATGGGGTTGTTCCTAAGGACTCATGGCCTTTGCCCAGGTCCTATGTTCAAGTCTTCTGATCCTCTGTCATCTAATTCTCTTTTCTAGGTGTTCCTTCACTCCCTCTAGTACCCCTTAGTCTGATCTCTCAGCTCTCTGACCTGTTTTACTTGCTGTCTGTCTTTCCCACCCTCCTGTCCTTCCATCCCCCCATTCTTCTGACCCTCCAGTGCTATTGTCCCCATTTCTCTGCTCCCAACTTCCTCATCTGGTTCCTCTGCTCCTCTGCCTTTCCATGAGAAGCCTCCTTTTGTGCTCCCAACAGAGGACATTTTGGCTCTTCTTTCTGTCCATTATTCAAGCTGGTTTTGACAGAAAATGACTTGCTGCTATGGGACTTCCTTTCATGTGAATGTTCTACCTTGAACGACACGTCACTCATCTGAATACTGTTTACCAGATTCTTTATCTTAGACTCACGCAGCGAGAGTTCCAAATCCCAGGTCCTGTTCAACTTCAGAGATTCCATCTGTTCTTTAATATGCTTCAGGTCCTGCATTATACAGGGAGGAATTTTGAGGCGGAACTTTAGCTCCAAGTTTGAGGAGCTCTCTTTTCTTGACATATCCAATAGAAACTGCACACTGAGGGTCATCTCCTTGTTCCCTTCCGGGTCCTGTACCTGCAACAGCCTTTTCATTTCTCGGCGGGACGCTTCCCCCAGCCGGCTCTGGTCCTGTGTCACCAGGTAGGACATGGCATGAAAAAATTCCTGGAAGCTGATGTGGCGGAAGCTGTAGAACTTCTTGATGTCAAGTCCCTCTTGGTAGTCGTTGCTGCTCAGGAAAGCAGCCAGGCTGGGGCCATCTAAATTGTGTTTCCTGAGCTCAGCTTCTCCAAACAGGAACCTCTGGTGCTGGATCCCCTCGGCTGCCAAGGAGCACAGACTCCTCAGGACCCTGTGCCGGGAGGGCTCGGAGCGGCCCTCCTTGTCATCAGACGGCAGGAAGGTGGACACGTAGGCCATGAAGATGTCAGTGCTGTTTCTGGGTGTCTCTGAGATGGCCTGGCCTCTCTCCATCTGCCTCTTCAGCCAGGAGCAGACCACCCAGCAAATGCCTGGAACCTGACAGGCTTGGTAGAGAATGGCATTTCCCTCTACAACTTCAAAGGCCTTCCTGGCTTGCTCCTCATCCTTGAAATAGGAGCTGAAATAGCTCCTCCTCTCCTCCTCAGAGAAGCCCAGGATACGGACATGGCATGCTCCATTCAGCAAGGGCTCCAGATTCTGCAAAGCCTGGGGCCGGGTGGTGATGAGCAGGGAGCACGTGGGAAGTATCCTTCTCCTAATTAGACGGTGCAGCACGTCCTCCTTGGGATTTGAGCTCACCTTCTTCAGCTGTTCTTCGAAGGGCCTCTGCAGCTCATCAAAGCCATCCAGGATGAACAGGAGCCGCTCTGGCTGCCTCAGAATCTCTGTGACAGGGGCTTGGCTGTCCCCACAACACCAGAAGAGGAGCTGCTCAATTTTGCCCTTGGGCAGCAGGACCACTTCTTTGCAGCTCACATAAAAGACATAATCAAACCAGCCTGGGTACAGGGTACCCGTGGCCCAGTCCAGCACCATTTTCTTGGCCAGAGTTGTCTTCCCAGTGCCAGCAGACCCCTGTAGCACCACTGAGGATGGGGCCGGGTGGGGCTTTTCCCCAAAACCGAATAGAGCTTCCACCACGACAGAGTCCACCTCCTGCTCTGGGACTAGGCAGGCAGATGATTCTGGGCTCCCTGAGCTGGGCTTGGCCACCAGGAGCAGCTGAATGTAGCTGCTGCCAACTTCCCCTTCTCTCCTCTCCTCTAGGGAGCGCACATGCTCTCGGTATGTTTCTCTGTAATCTGAGCCAGAAAAATGGGGTGTTAGGTGGTGAAATGGGAACTTCAAAAGGCAAATGGACCCTCTAAACTCTGACTCGGCTCTTTGGTCTCATCTTCTTCTCTGCTCCCCGACTTGTATCTCCCTGAAGATTCTAGTTCTGGCTTCATAAGGAAAGGCCCCTGTATGTGCATATGAGTGTGTGCACACATGTATGGTGTGTATGTGCACGTGTGTGAGTGTGTGGGGGGTTATTTGTGGGATGTGTGTGGATGTTTGCATCCACATGTGCTCACAGGAATGTGCTCACGGAAGCTGCATGTTGTGCAGGGATGGCATGTCCGTGTGCATCAGCAAGTGTGTTTGCAGAATATGTGTAAGTGCAAAGTCTCCGTGTGTGACAATGCGTAAATGTCTGGGTGTCCATGGGAAATGTCCCCAGATGAAGAGCTGGGGACAGAGAAAGGAGAAAGGAAAGGGACACCTGAGCATGGTGAGGGAATAGGAGCCTGTTTTTGGGAAAGGACGACAGGCCGGATGCTAAAGATAAACCAGCTGCTGAGCAGCAGCAGCGACTTGGAGTCCACGACACTCTCCCATTTTTCTGTAGCAGAGGAGCTTGCAGGCATGAAAGGAGCCTACGGGAGGGAGCACAGGCACCGACAGATCCTCCCTTTTCCCCAGCACCCCACGAGAAGGAATAGGAGGCTCCACGCCCACCCCACTCTCTAGGGTGGTTCCCTGAGAGATCACGGGTCAGAAGACTGAACGAAGCAGCCGGAGCTGCCTGCCAGGAAGCAGCTGGGGCAGGTCCAAGCCTGGCATCCTGAGGCCATTTCTCCTGGTTGGTGGAAATCCCATCACCAGCACCATCCCAGATCTCTAAACCCCTTTCTTCATGAGGTCCCCTTCTCTGACACTGCAGCTGGCAGTAGGAGGTGGAATGTAATGGCCATAAAATGCTGTAGTCTTCTGATACATAACCCCAACCTTCAGCTCAGGCCCCCACCTGACAATTGTAAGAACCCTCAGCCAGAGACCACCCAGGACCCTGAGGCACTGGGGACTCCCTGGAAGAGCAGAGGGCAGGACGGCAGAAGGCACAATCTACTGGCCATGGGAGTCTCTGGAAATGCCATGGGGATAGGGGGTCCCAGAACCACTCCACCCTCCCCTTTTCCCCTCCACACTCACCATTCAGACAAATGAGGCTGAGCTGGTCCACGAGTTCCAACAGGTTCATCACCTTCAAGGCCTTGAGCACCACTCTCACAGCCTCCCGTGCTCCATACGTTAAAATCAGCTTAGATGCCAGGTCCACCCGACTCAGACCCTCCAGCTCCCCTCGGGCCAGGTGGGGCTGGCCCTCAGGCAGGGCCATACCCCGTAAGTGGAACTTTAGTATCTTGAAATTGTTTTCTTCCAGTTCACTTAGGGCCCAGAGCAATGCATTCTGGGGGTCATTGGCGAGGACCATGGTGAGGGGTCAAGTTCAGACCAGTGATCTGGAGAAGGAGATGAGAGCAGAGGTCCCCTGCTGATAGGAGAGCAGCCTGAAGGCACCTTGCTGGGTGCTTGGCAAGCTGCAGAGCAGACGCCAGGGACAGATGAGAGGTGTGCAAAGTTCCAGGGAAGGTGAGCAGATGAGACAGCAGAGGAATTTCCCTAGCCATTCCCCTCTGCCTCTTTGTCAGGTGACCTGTGGCATCTGTCAGCTGGCATTCGTGTCAGCAAATAGGAAGGTATGTTGGGTGTGTTGGCCTCTCCCTCCCTCTCCCTCTCTCTCTCTCTCTCTTCCCCTCCATCTCTATCTCTGTCTCTCTCTCCTCCCTCCTTTCTTCTCTCCTTCTTACACACATTCTTTTTTAGGCCCACTATGCTCCTTAGATAGATGGGTTACGAAACAAATTTATCTCTGAGTTTCCGTTTTAAATTTTCAAACCGAGCCTGCCCCTGGCTGTGTGAACCTATCCAGAGCTGGTGCGCATTGGCTGGGACTGCTGAGATACGGCAAGAAGGCAAAACTCTACACTCACACGGGCCTCACACGTCAGCCGCAAGGACTCAGTCACACACAATTTCAAAGCTGGAAGTCTTCTCATTCAGATAAGGAGACACGTGCAAACGCCGAGCACAAGAGGAAGGGCCTCTTTTGAGTGCCTATCTGCCAGGTGGTTTAGATGTATTGTCCTTTTGATCATCCCAGAAACCATTTCAGGTACTCCTCCAGATGAGAAATTCAGCAGTCAGAGAAAAATGATTTTCCAGAGTATTCCAGAGCTAGGCCACTGGGCAAAGAGGTGGGATTTAAACTGTGGTCTATGACCTGGGTGGATGCAGAGAGACAGAAAGAATAAAAAAATAAAGGCATAGACAACAGACTCAGAATCCAGGAAGTTGGGCTAAATACAACCAGAAACTGGAGACATTTATAGATACTAAAGTAGCAGGGAAAGGACAGCAGGATTTTGAGCTATGTTTAAAGTATGGAACTAACATGTAGGCAGGGTGACGGTTCTTGGGGAAAAAAAAAAAACAACAATTAATGGAAAGCCCTCAGAATTATACCCATGATCTAAGGCCAATGGGAAATCCATCTCAGTAGTAAAATATCACATTTGTCACAGGGGGTGCTCAAAGGAGTATTTGGGAATGGAGAAAGTTACTGCAATTCAAATATGAGCATTTTGGCCACATACTGACGGGACAGAGAAATGTTCACAACGTGTCAGGACACATGGGACCTTGGCTGCAAGTCACAGGCCAGTTTGGAAAAGCAGGCCTGGTAAAGAGGGGTGATTGACAACAAAGCCTCCACTGCACAGGAAGACTCAGGGCTCCCCTGCAACTCTCTGATGCTGGCAAAGCTCATTCAGGAAAGAGGAGAAGTCAACACTAGAAGATGCCAAGGAGATGTCCAGTGTAGGCGCTTCACCCCGGCTCAGACCAGGGGAGCTGGAGGTGAGGGCGGGATGACTCAGCTTCCCGATGCAGGAGCCCAGCGAGCAAAGCCCTAGGGGCTGAGATGAAACAGACCCTGTTTCTGGTAAGACAGCTCTGTGGGCCATGCCTGAGTCCTCTTAGCCCAAACCCACTAGTTCACTTATGTTTGCTGGTGTGGTATGAAAAATATAGGTGTGACCACACAGACACCTACTGTACACTACATGTACACGTGGGGCTGGAACAGAAGGACCCACCATGCCTCTGTGAAGCAGAAACACCCACACACTCCATCTGACTGTCTGTGGGCTGAGCAGCTGCTCACCAGTGGAGACATGACCTCATTCCTCCATACATTAAAGTTAAGAAACAAGGGAGGGGCCGAAGGCATGAAGTACTCTGTCACCAAGACTAAAAGAGCCCGGCAGCCTTTCCATCTTGCTCCTGAGGGCCCCAGCCCACTTCTGCAACCCTGCCCAGTCCAGGCTGGGGCAGTGTCCCCAGAGAAACAAAAGAATTGGGTGCTGTCTCCACCACATCCTCAGACATGGCACCACTTCTTTAAGTTGTTGAAGCACCTAGAGAATGTGCTCGACCAAAATGAAAAAGGAAGAAGACAGGCGCTGTATGAAATAGGAATCCAAACAAAGAGGAAAACAAATTGGTAGCTCGCCAGGAGAGAGAGAGGCCCTGAAAGCCCTGAGCAGAGCGGGTTTCTCCAGAAAGAATGTCTCCAAGAGAAAAGGATAGATAAGTTCACTGATGCTCTTGGCCTTCTGAAAGACCTACTGAGAGGCTGTTAGAAGCTGGGAGAAACTAGCAGCAAGTTCCAAGAAAACTAGATAAATGAAAGTAAAATTACTAGCTATAGGAAATTACTAGCTATAGAAAAAACAAAAAATAAGACAGGAAATGTAATAGCAAACTATAACACTCAGGTGTGAATAATATTCGCAGAAAAATAATAATATGGCCAGGTAAAGTGGCTCACACCAATAATTCCAGCAGTTTGGGAGGCCAAGGCAGGATGATCATTTAAGGCCAGGAGTTCAAGACCAGCCTGGGCAACATAGTGAGACACCTCCCCTCACCCCATCCCTAAAACACTTTTTTAAAAAATTAGCCAGTCTCAGTTGCATGTGCCTGTAGTCCCAGCTACTTAAGAGTCTGAGGCAGGAGGATGGCTTGAGCCAAAGAGTTTGAGATTGTCACAAGCTATTGTACTTCAGCCTGGGTGACAGACCAAGATCCTGTCTCTATAAAAATAGAATAAAAAATAATAATAATGTGACCACTGAATATTGATCCATCTAAAATTTATAATATAACCATATTGAAAGGATAGTGGTATAATATACTAGAATAGGCAGTCAATAGATAATACCTAAAATTGACGAATAAAAGGTAGTGATATACAGTGCACATATTATTGAGAATAAAGGCCAGAGAATGACAAATGCATAAGAATCCATTTTAATTAGAGGCCGGAGGCCAGAGATGAAACGAGCCCTCCCTTCCTGTACAGCTGGCCTGGCCATGGGCCAAACTAACAACCGGGGCCACTGAGTACCAGAAAGGGAAGGGGTAGAGACAAAAGAGACAGACATCGCAGGGGGAAACAGAGATAAGAACAGAAAGAGTCAAAGAAGAGATAACAGACAGATATCAGAAAAGACACACACACACACACCCCTCTACACACTCACTCCATACATACAGTCCTTGACAGCAAACTCATGAGAAACAGAGGTGACTGAAATACATATGAAGGAACTGGAGTTCGAGTCAAGCCACTAGAGTTCCCTGCCTTTATTACAACTTTCCTCCCCCACCATGAGGGAGGCAAATTCCAAGGCAAAGTTGAGTGCACACATTCACTGTCCTGCTTCCAGGCCTCCTTCCGCCTGACACGGGCAGGGCCCAGCCCCCGTCCATCCCCTGCTGTGCAAGGGCCCTTTGAGAAGGTGCTCCCAGGCCCTCCCACTGGTCACTGTCTTCTGCGTTACACTGTGGTCAGTGTTGATGGAATCAGCACGTGGGGCTGGGAAGCTGAAAGCTCCTCTTGAGACAGAGGCCCCATAGCCATTTTGGAGGTATCTGTCTCTGATGCTAGAGGCTGTCTTTTCTCAAGGGTATCGCCACATGACCTAGAAGGAAAAGGAGGCCTTCAACCTCCCCAGTGACTTAGCCAGCGCTAGCAAGATGGTGGTGAGGAGAACAGGCAGGCAAGGCACATGATAAATTACAGTGGTCCTGGGGACAACTCTGAGGTTTGCTTTCTACCACGTGTTCCCGCATCCCCGGGATGGAAGGACAAGCGCGAGGCCCTCCAACACATCTTTGTGTTCAGGCAGGAAGATGGTGCCGTGGCCTGCTCAGGCCTGCTTTTCTGGGGCTTCTTCACAGGAATGAGGTAAACTGGATAAGGGTGCAGCCTGTACTGAGATAAAAGGGCCTGTGGTGAGATGAAAGTGGGGGGTGGGGGGGGGGTTTACCCAAAAAGGCCAAATATAGTATCACCAGGAAGAGAAGTACGAAACCCGGTCAAAGAGAGAAGCTGGAGGTCAGGGCCAGATGCTGACATGAAGGGCAACTTCCATAAATGAGAAATGGAGTTGAAGTTAGAGGGAAAAACGTCAGTTTCCCCAGGGATAGGAAGCAGCGATTAGGAAGGGTTGGTCCGGATCCAACAGAGCCACATTGTGATGTAGGCTCTAGGTTACGATGTTAAGATGTTCTCTTCTTCCTGAGAGAGCACCTTTCTTACGGGAAATTTATGTCCTGCCTTTAGGCAGAAAGAGAGAGGCAGGGAGCCCCATCTGGATCTGCTGCTTCTCAGTTGCTTTCAGATCAAAATAGTCAATAAGCCAAAGCAGCAAACTTCCGTGTGACGGGTTCTGATCCCCTTCCACCTCAGGAATGAGCTCTGAATGGAACTGTCATTCACTTTTGGTGACAATGTAAAATGTTGCAACCAGTTTGATAGTTTCCTTTGTTATGATTATTTCAAAATATTAAGTATCCATGCATTTGTTACATGGATATTTTGTATAATGCTTCAGCTGGGCCTTTTAGTGTGTCCCTCACAATAGTTTCTTATAAAATTAAACACTCACCTATCCTACGACCTAGGCATCCCATTCCTAGGTAAGTTACCCAAGAGAAAAGAAAACATAGGCACACAAAGACTTACACATGAATGTTGAGGACAGCATTATTCGCAGTAGTCAAAAATTGGAAACAAATCAAGTATCCATCAACAAGTGAGCGGATAAACAAACTGTGGCTCATCCATACAATGAAAGATTATTCAGCAATGAACCCTTGATACTCACATTAGTAAATCTCACAAATATTGTGCTTTGAGAAAGAAGCCAGACACAAAGAATGCAAGCTGCATTATTCCATTTACATGAAAACCAGTCTGTAAGGATACGGAGCAGCGGTGCCTGCTGCCAGGTGTGAAACGGGGCACTGTCTGCAAAGGGGAACGGGGCACTTTGCGGGTGAGGAGATGCTCTGCGTCTTGGTTGTGGTGGTGGATACACAGGTGAAGACGGTCAAAACTCACTGAGCTATACCTTATCAGTAGAGGCAGTTTCTTGCACACAAATTATACCTCAGCAATGTTGACTAATTTAAAATAAAAAGGAATGAACTCTGATAACTAAACTGTGCAGCTTTCAGTATCGTGGCTCATACTAGAACCTCCCATTCATCAACAAACTAGAGGCTCAAAATGATACTCTCGGGCATTGCTAATCTCACAAACCCAAGAGAAGTCTGCAGGGACGACCCACTTCCCCAACCAAACAGATAATTGTGAGCTTGTCCTGAAGTGTCCAAGGCCACTAGTCAGGAACCACATCTCTCGGTGGACAGGAATCAGGGAGGGATCACACTGGAGCCTGGGCGGGAATATCCTTGCCAGGGCAAGGTGGCCGGGAGCTGAGACTGCAGACATGGGGAGCCTGAGCCCTGAAACAAGCTGGGGGTCAGCCTTGCAGGAAGGAGAGGTGGGAGGGGAGAGGTGCCTCTGAGGCCAGAGTCCTCTATCAACACTGCCCTGAACTTCAAATTGCAGAGAGGTGGTGGAGGCCAAGTGTGATCACCCTCTCTCAGTCCAAGTCTTCTAAAAAGTCGAAAGTGACCCCATCCATGAGAAGAAGCAAGCTGTCTCAATGGGAAAGCTTCCCCTTATTAGGCCTCAATGACTACCACCAATATGCCAAGCAATGAACTTATAACCTTGAAAATCTGAGTAAAATTAAGTAAAAGCAACAAACGAAGATTCAGACCATCAAGAAGTGTAGATGTTAGACTTGTCAGCTTTCGATGAAACATTTAAAGAAATAAAGGATGTAATTACAAAGATAAGCTTCCAGCAAGAAAATATGAAGATAGGACATTGCTATGAACTGATTTAAAAAGAAGAAGAAGAAACTATGAAGATAAAAATAGATTTGTAAAAAAAAAGCCCTTTTATATAGAAAGAAAGAAAAGAAAACAGAACTTTTATAAATGAATAATATAATCATTGAAACCTAAAATTTAATATACAGAATAAATAGCAGTTGTAGTAAGAATTAGGGAGCTGAAGATATAGCCAAAGAATCCCGACAGCAGCAAAAAGGTATAGGACATTGAAAATATGAAAGGGAGCTTAAGGGACATTGAAAATAGGGCAGGGAGAGGCCATATTAAGAACAAATGGTGTAAATTTCCCAGAACTATTATAAAAAGCATGGATGTACAGATCCCAGGAGGACAATATATCCCAAGCAGAATACATGACAAAAAAGGCATGCTTGAAACTCTTCTATCCTGAATTATCTGCCTCTCAACCCTGCTGTTCCCCTGGCTACTGCCCTAAATGTCTCCTTTCTTTCCCAGATAATTCCATGAAAGAGTATCCAGCACTTGCTGCTTTCAGGTCAAACTGGAGAGTCTCTCACACCTGAACTCTAGTTTCTGTCCCAACCCATCCTCACTGCCACTGACACTGCTCTACTAGGGTTGCTGAAAACTCCAGGTCCTCAAATCTAAGAGTTTCTTTTCAATCCTCTTCTGATAGGATGTTCACCTCTGTTTGGGGGAATTGAAAGATAGAATGTGAGTCTGTGAGTCTATCCAGAGCATTTACAGGGGGAGTAGGATCATGTGAATTCTAATTACGGAAACTAGCTCCAAGGAGAAATCAATTCTTGGGCGTGAGAGTCAGGGCTAAGAGGTCCAACCTCACCCATCCACTTTGCCAACTGGATACTGGGACTTTACCTAGTTAAGGGAATTGACAGGTTTGTTTGTTTTTACAGGCAGATGTTATCATTCCCATTATACCAAGAAAGAAATTGAGGCTCAGGAAAAACTTGTTGATTACCCCAAGTTACACAGTGAGTTAGGATCAGAGCCTTCCATCACATAGTAATGACAACAGCTATGACTTAATAACAATAACTGTTAATGAACCCACAAGGGGGTTCACTGTTGCTCACCACACAGAAAGCCAATTACCGAGACAACGAGGATTGTTGAGGAAGAAAGGATTTATTTCAGTGGATGGGTCTACTGGGAGGGGGAGGTATGAACTGCCTCAAATCCACCTCCCAGATCAACAGGGTCAGGGGTTTTTCTAGAGGTGAAGTGAATAATGCGTGAGGGAGTGAGCATCATTACCTGTTTGGGGTGGAGTGCAGGGCATGCACGCGCTGTGAGAAATCATGGTAGTAAATACATCCCATCATCAAAAAATGGCAGATAAGTCCCTCCCAGGGTGGGGATTTTAGTATTATAATGAGCTAGAGGTTAATATTGGTAATTCTTTCAGCCTTGTGCACAGGCTTAGTGGGTCCTTGGGCACAATCTATGGTGGAGTATTGTTTGTCTTGTCTTCTCCAGACAAACAGCTGGTGTGAGGCTTTGTGGTTATCTCGCGACTGCAAGGAGGCTCTGCCATTTCTGGGAAAGAAACTCAAAAGGGAATGTATCAGTGCAACAGAAAGTTACAAAGTTCTGGTCAGCAAATCGTACTGGCCTGGGAACTTGAAACATAGGAGAACTACAAGAAAAAAAAACTATAAAAAATGTTTTCTTGGTTATGGAGCCAGTTACATAACTACTTTATATCATGCATGTAATAAGAACTTTACAAACCATAACCTCTTTTAATCCTCTCCCAAAGCACAGACTACTAAATATAATACAACTGACTACAACTCCACTTGGATGTCTAATGGACATCTCAAAGGAGACATCCAGAAATGAAATCAGGATCTTTTCCCAAAAACCTGCTGCAACTGAAGTGTTCACTATCTCAACTAATAGCAACTCCATCCTACTAGCCACTCAGCACAAAAAATCAGAATCATCCTTGATTCCTTTCACACCTCACATGCGATTTCTCAGTAAACCAGATTGTCTCCATCCTCAAAATATGTCCGTAACCTTCCCACTGCTCACCACTCCCTCTGCCACCAGCCTGGCCTGGCCTCCATCATCTGTCACTTAGATTACCCAGTGGCCTCCCAGCGGGTCTCCCTGCTCTTCCTCCCTCACCTCCCGCTCCTCCACCCCCCCCAGCCCTGTCTATTCTTCTCAAGGTAGCCGGAGTGGCCCTTTTAAAACTCAGACAGATCATGACTCTCCCCTATCCAAAGGTTCCCCATCTCACTCAGACTAAAAGCAAAGTCCTGCCTTCCTCACCTCCTTCAAGTCTTTACTAAAACTTCACATTCTCATTATAACCTACCCTAACCCCTCGCAACTCCTGATTCCCCTTTACCCTCTGCTAGTTTTCCCTTTCTCGCAGAATTTCTCGTCGTCTTCTAATATAGTGTAGAATTCATTTATTTGTCTCTTTCTGCTATAATGTAAACTCTTCAAGGACAAATATTTTTGTCTGTATTTGTTCACAGATATATCCCAAGCGCCTAAAAGAGCATCTGGAACATATTAGACACTCAAATTGTTGAATGAATAAACCGCCCTGTTGACACCTTGTGACGCTGTCAAGAACAAAGCCCTTTTTAAAGGTGCTTTGACATCCATCGTCCCATTTAAGTCTAAACCACAAATTGCGACCTTTGCGCTGCTCTTTGGCTCCACCTGGCGGCAGCTGCGCAAACTGAGTTGAGTTGTCTCTCTTCTCCTAACGCCGACCCAAGTTTACTCGGAACTATTTAATCCAGTACTCACTGAGTGTGCATCGGACCTAAGGCAAAGAGCACACACTCCGGAAGAAATTATTACCAGCAGGACGTTTTAATGCCCCGAGAAGTATCACCAGTAACCAATAGGCACAAAGATGTAGCTCACGTGGTACATAGTCAGCCTATCGAGCTCCTAATAGTTACTAACTCACTCTCTTCCGCTCCTGGCTCCTTCTTTCGCGACAAGATGGCCACACCGGCAGTAGCAGCAAGTGATCCTCCCGCCACTCCCGCCCCAGCCTCGGCGGCGGCCCCAGTCTCAGCCCCAGCCTCAGCCCCGGCACTAGCGCCAACGCCAGCTCCAGCGCCAGCTGCGGCTCCGGCCTCATCTTCAGACCCGGCAGCAGCAGCGGCTACGAATGCAGCTGCGGGCCAGACCCCGGCCTCAGCGCAAGCCCCGGCGCAGACGCCGGCGCCCTCACTGACTGGTCCCGCTCTCCCAGGGCCTTTCCCTGGCGGCCGCGTGGTCAGGCTGCACCCAGTCATTTTGGCCTCCATCGTGGACAGCTACGAGCGACGAAACGAGGGAGCTGCCCGTGTTATCGGGACCCTGCTAGGTGAGTAGTCGGAGAAAGTTGACATCCTTTTCTTCCTGCCACCTCACGTTTATCCCACGACCCTCTTTCATTAACTCTTTCATCTCTGACGTCCTACTTCCCTCTCCTCCCATCCCCATTGACCGTTTATCCATTTCTCTATCCCACCTTACTGCTGCGACTTAACTTCCCAAGGGATTTGAACGTCTCCTAAGCTCTTCCCTGCCGGGTTGCTGTCACTTTGAGCGACATAAATATACAAGGATTATTATCATTTGTTAAACAAATATGTGCCGAGTGGTTTACATTTTATTTCTAATCTTCCCAACAGCATTTTACAAAGATGATTTCACAAGTATGATTGGCCCCGATCTGCCAAAATTGAGCTGAGACATGAGTAGGAAGTCAAGAACCCTTGACTCCCTAAGCCCAGTAACCACGTTTTTCCTTCTTATGCATTGACTGTATATCTTTGGTTTTCCAGGTATTGACAAATAATTTTCTGACTGGTTAGCATAGGAGTGGGGACATTTGTAAAAAAATATTTCTCCCAAAAAGTAAACGGATTTAGCTGGAACTCATTAGGGATTTTCTAATATTCTGCTTTTCCAAACTTCTGAGCCTGATCCTCTGTCCCTCTGTGTCCCCTAGTATTAGCATCTAATGTGATAAACCCTGTTCCCCCAGTACTGTCCCTGATTTTCCGTTTGGACACAAACAGTTGTATTACCTGTTTATAATTTTGTGCTTAATCTTCAGATCAAATAATAATCTTTACCATGCCTGTGCTCCAAATTTGGGGAGTAAATATTTTATGTTAAAGTAGTTTGTAAAACTGAAAAGCACTAAAGAAGAATTGTTGATAATTCTTTTTTGGGAGGGCTACTGATCCCATGAAATTCATTTCCACTCCATTTTAGTGGCAAATTTTAAACCTTTTTGAACCCACTTCACTTACATGCATCCTTTCTCTTTCATAACTCTTCAACCTGTCCTTACTCCGTAGAAGACAATTGGTGTATTGCAAACAGGATAAGATTCGTAGTCAGACTCCAGTAAATATTAACCATGTTCCATGGGGCAAATTACCCAAAGTCTAGTTCTTTAGGGACTAATTTAGACTTAGTCTTTGTGAGAACTAAACCATTACAGAAAGCTTTTAACTGTGCTGGCACTCATCAGGTACAGCTGTTGGTTGCCATTCATCACATCAGGCCTATACCACCCCTAACACACGGACACACACATTATCTATCTTTGACAGTGTAGTATTTTACAGAAACTTAAATTCATATCTTCCAGACATTGCCATGTTTTTTCTTAAACCAAACCTTTGAGTTCTATTTGCCACAAGTACCTTCCCTTCTCTCCCTCATTTGTTTCTTTAAGTTCCACCTATCTTCCTGGTTCCTAGGAAGTGTTAAGTATCAGTCCTCCAACCCATACCACAACCCTCACCTCATTCTTAACTTTCCACAGTACGATAACATTCTGTTAACTGTGTCCTGCTTTGAGCTTCTGCAACAAATAATTTTTGCCTCACTGAATTAGCACTAGACAAATGCGCTTTCAGCTGCACTGTCAAATTTTCCAAACTCCATGGAGCTATTTAACTAAAGAAACAATTCTCTACCCAAGATGTATGTTTAGTGCCCCAGATATTACAGTGAGACTAGCTGTAAGCTAGATCCTCAGATCCTCTTTCAGATTGGGATCATGGCACCGTGATGTAGGTTTTGTAGAGGCAGTGCTTACAGAAGAATGAAGCATAGATTCTGCATGCTAGGAACTTAAAATTTTAAGACATTAATTTGTAAAACATTTCATTTAGTTAAATGAATTCATTGGTGCCTTTTATGTACCATAGAACTGTTAGGTACTTAGAATTCAAAGTTAGATAACTTGAGCTCTACTGTAGCCTTAAACTCAAGATAGAAATATACTTTTATATGCAAATAATTAAAATGTAATGTGATAAATGTTCTAATAGAAGAATGCCGTAGTGGCATGGAAATACAGAAGACTTAACTATTTCAGAAGGTTGGGGAAGACTTCTCAGAAAAGATAACATTTGAGCTGGGCATTAAAGCAACTTTTACAAGAAGTATAGAAGAGTCTGGTAAGTCCACTGCCTAAAGAGTTCAGTGTTACAGAAATGAAAAGAGAAGAGATGTAGCAGGAAATGAAGCTAGCAAAGTAAGGAGCCATTAAGAGGTATGAAATAATTACAAGTGTAAAGTGCTGTGAAGGAGAATTACCAAGAGCTGTGAGAAGACAAAATGTAAGTCTAACCTAGTTTGGGCTATTTGGGAAAGATCTTGAGCAGTAGGCATTTCAGCTAAGACTGAGGAGGAATTAAAGATCCCTGTGGCTGCTTTGTAGAGAGTGGATAAGAGACAGGCATGAGCTGTGCATGGACACCAGAGAGAGACTGTTCTAGTAATAGGGAAGCACTAGAGAAGTGAGGGTGGAGTAGAAGGGATGAGTTAATTGAGAGATAGGAAGTAGAGTTGATAGGACTTCATGTGATCAGAAGTGAGGGATTAGAGACAAGGAAGTATCTAGGATAACTCCTACATCTTTGGTTGATTGCGGAAGAAGAAAGGGAAGGTACAGGTTTACTTCTGTTTAGGATATATATTCTTTTTGAGATGCCTGTTGAGCAATCTGGTGGAGTTGTCAAGTAGAAAATTGAATATAAAAGTCTGGAGTGCAAAAGAGATATGGCCAAGTATGTCAATTTAGGAATTATGTCATTAGAATATAGAAGTTAATTGAAACCATAAAAATGGATGAGATCATCTAAAGCAGAGATTGGTAAATCTTCTGTAAGGGGCCAGACAGTAAATATTTTAGGCTTTGTGTGCAGTCTCTGTCACAACTACTTAACACTGCTTTTGTGACAAGAAAGCAGCCATAAATTGGCATGTAAACTTTTATTTACAGAAACATTTCTATGTCAGAGCTCAGAGCCTGACCTAGAAAAGGAGCATAGAGTAAAAGGATAGAACTAAGACAACCCTGAAAACCTGAGAAATCAGAGGGAAGAGTGGAAGGACTGGTATCAGGAAAGCCCAAGAAAAGGCAGTTTTAAGATAGAAGAATGCCCGGCGCAGTGGCTCACGCCTGTAATCCTAGCTCTCTGGGAGGCTGAGGCGGGCGGATTGCTTGAGCTCAGAAGTTTGAGACCAGCCGAGCAAGAGTGAGACCCCGTCTCTACTATAAATAGAAAGAAATTAGCCAAACAACTAAAAATAGAAAAAATTAGCTGGGCACGGTGCTGTCTGCCAGCAGTCCCAGCTACCTGAGAGGCTGAGGCAGGAGGATCGCTTGAGCCCAGGAGTTTGAAGTTGCTGTGAGCTAGGCTGACACCACAGCACTCTAGCCCAGGCAACAGAGTGAGACTCTGTCTCAAAAAAAAAAAGATGGAGGAAGTAGTCAAGTCCGTTGAATGCTGATGAAAGGTCAAATAAGATAAAGAATATATAGCCATTTGGTTTAAGGACATAGTTTCAGCTAAGGGAACAGAATCCGTAGTGAATTGGAATTAGATGGATACTAGTGGGTACAGGCAACATCGTGCTCTGTAGTAGAGAGAGAAGCACTTGAAGCCTGGAGTAGGAGGTTCCAAGAGCTGAGAAGAGATTGGAGAAGTCAAGGAATTAGTGATCTCCATAAGGTCAGGAAACAAATGTAGTGGGAGTAGAAGTTTCAGAATTAGAAGAACAAAAGTTTGTGGTAAAAAACTGAACTGTCGACATTCAAGATTCACAGGTAGAGGGTTGCCAGATGATAACTAGGTTAAGGACATGACTGTGGGATCAGATGGCTAAAGGGAGATACAGGTGAAGCTCCATAGAGTCGTGCTCAGAGTCTGAGATGAGGCTCCTGTATTTGGTATTCTGTATAGACATTAAAATCTTCCAGGTAGCTTTGCAGATTAAATTATAGGGAGAGCGTCTAGAGGCTGAAAAACAAAGATCATAGAGTGAAGGTCTGGGAGAGGGCTCGTATTGGGAAGTAGCAGATAGGCAAAGGGAGACCTTGTGAGGGAAGAAAACACTATTTGGTGATGGTTAGAGGGAGGAGTTGGAGATCACTCCAGTCCTCTGGAGAATCCTGATCTCATTTGATGCACGTGGTTGAACTTGGAGCTAATGAGTTCAGTTTGGTGTTCATTGACTTTGAGGAGACCACCAAACGCATTTCAAAAGCAGTCAGAGGCTATTGGGATTAGGATTATATAACACATGGACGATTCTCTCTTTCACAGGAACTGTTGACAAGCACTCAGTGGAGGTCACCAATTGCTTTTCAGTGCCGCACAATGAGTCGGAAGATGAAGTGAGTGGGAATTTGAGCTGCCCCTCTGCAGTTTATAGCTGTGCACTTGCTAGGCTGCCTTCAAGGCCCTCCTGCACAGTATGTTGTGCTCATAACTGGAGCTCCCACAGCCAAGGAGCTTCATTTCATTTGTATGTATTTCCCGGGCCTCTTTTGTCTGTTGGGGGTGGCCACTTGTCCTTTTATCCAGTTTTTCTGTAGACTTGGTGTCTTCTTAGCTTCCTTTCCTGCCTTCCCTCTCTTAGGTGGCTGTTGACATGGAATTTGCTAAGAACATGTATGAACTGCACAAAAAAGTCTCTCCAAATGAGCTCATCCTGGGCTGGTAAGTTGAGGGTAGAAAGTCTTTCAGGGATTGCCAAGGTCCTTTGCCACCAGACTATGTTTTGTCCTTCTTTTCAAGACAGAGTATTGAAATGTATAACCTTGAGGATCTATGAAGTCGGTGTGTTTTGCTGGCAGTTCTGATCCTGTGAGGCCGGGAATATTTATTTTGAATTGTAGCTTTTACTGTGCAAGTCCTTTTTTGCCTTGCTGGTGACATAGAATTTTTCAAGAGTGCTAAGTCAGCCTTTGATTTGATTTGACTTAGTTTTCAATGTGTGTATTGTTTTTGGCATTTGGCATCGCTAGGTATCACTACCGTAGGGGTGTCAGATACCCTCAAGACACCCGTGCCAGTATTGTGTTTGGTCTCGATATCCTATATAGACATGAGTCTGCAACTATGTTCCATTTTCCAGGTACGCTACAGGCCACGATATCACAGAGCACTCTGTGCTGATCCATGAGTACTACAGCCGGGAGGCCCCCAACCCCATTCACCTCACTGTGGACACAAGTCTCCAGAACGGCCGCATGAGCATCAAAGCCTATGTCAGGTGACCACAGTCTTGAGCCATAAGGGCATAGAAGACAGTCTAGTTCATACCATGCCTAGATGACATCCCACCCCCACCTCAAGCAAGTTTAATTCCTCAGTGCATAACTCACTGCCTCCTCAGGAAGCCTGTTCCTCTTGCTTAAGCAATAACTGTTAACAGTTATTCGAAAGGTTTTACTCTGAAACAGAACCTCTCCTGTAATTTCCATTCACTGATCCTAGTTGTACTCCTGGTTTCTACTCCTTGCTCTTAGCCAATTTCAAATGGCAGCCCTTTCAGTTATTTAAGCAAGCTATTGTGTTTCTTTGAAGTCATCTTTTCTGGAACCTAACTATCCACATTTCCTACAGCCAGTCCTCACAAGGTGTTCTTGTCACTATCCTTCACCATGTTTATTACTTTTCTGAGTTACCCTTTAATTTGTTGTTATCCCTAGAACTCAACACAGCACTCACGATAGTACAGATTAAAGGATGGCCATCCTTATTTTGAAGACATTTATTAACCCAGGGTTGAGTGCAGTTTTGGTGACAGTAACATTGTTGCTGTGTTAACACATTGAGCTTGCAGGCAGTTAAAATGCGGGTTGATGGAGGCGGGGGATGTTGGGAAAGGCCCTCGTGGCATGCTGCTAGGGGGAGCTGAAAGGATTGTGTCTTCTGGTAAGAGCGAAGGCATTTGTTAGTGCATATCTTACGCTGTTTAACTTTGTGCTGGTTCTCTGTCTGACACTGTAGCCAGTTAACTGTTAAACAGTAAGACAAAGGTGATAAATGCCAAGGCCTTATAAGCCAGTTGGCATACCACTAAGCTCTAGCCACTGCTTGACGTCTTAGCCTTTCCAGGTATAAGAGCCAGTCTATAAACATATATAGTTAATATAGTAAAGTATATATCCAGTATAGAGTTGAGAAGACAACATCTTTAGTGAGATTACTTATAGCAGTCAGTCTAGTCTTGGTGTTCCAGAGTCAACTTGTTTTCTCAGTGCTAATGACGAGCTTAGTCCTAGAAAAGACCTGTCTTTGTCTCTTCTTTCCATGGGAGTGGGTATCTAGGCAGCCAGCTCCACAGAGAAATCCAGAGTCCTGTCCTCTCATCATTGACATTGTACAGTATATGAAGTATTAATAATCTTCTAAAGGGACCAAGCCAGATCCAAAGGCTGAGTACCCTCTTACAGGGCATGGGTTTGGTGTGTGGAATGAGCTAAGGGGAAAAGGTGACTTTTGCTCCTGCGTGATCTCTGGCGTTCAGATGGTCCCAGCCTTCTTATCTCAGAACCTTGGAAGCCATACTCCTGTTGTGACTGCTTTCACAGCCCAGTCTAGGCGTAGAAACCCTCTCCCAAGGCTGTTTGTTTACCTTGACTTCTCCCTCCCTAGCACTTTAATGGGTGTCCCTGGGAGGACCATGGGAGTGATGTTCACACCTCTGACAGTGAAATACGCATATTATGACACAGAACGTATCGGAGGTGAGTAACCTTCCCGTACACTCCTTAGAGGTCTCAGGCATTTTCAGGGGAGGGAGCTGCTGTTCTGTAACAAGGATGAATGCCTTGGGTGGTTCAAAAAGGAACCAGTGATCTAAGGTTTGTGATAGCTAGAAGTCACAGTCTCTCTCCTGTATAAATGGGACTTAAGGAATTATTGGAGAAATTGTTAGAAGTGGGAAATTATTGGCACCAGAGGCCACGTGACCATTCACATGAGACCAAAACCGGTGATTGACATACTAGGTGAAGGGATTGAGCTCTGTAAGGAGAAAGAAAAGCTAGAAAGGGCAGAGCAGGGAGTCTGGGAAAGGTGACTAAGTCCAAAGGGAGGTAGGAAGGAGAGAAAGGACAGTTAGAGACCGTGTCTTTTCCAATGGGATGACTGAATTCTCTGTCTCTTGTTACCTACCACCACGCCCACCCCCCTCACCCAACTCCCACAGTTGACCTGATCATGAAGACCTGTTTTAGCCCCAACCGAGTGATCGGACTCTCGAGTGACTTGCAGCAAGTAGGAGGGGCATCAGCTCGCATCCAGGATGCCTTAAGCACAGTGTTGCAGTATGCAGAGGACGTGCTGGTGAGAGGGGCGTGGAGTAACGGGAGGACCTAGATCTCCACTCTGGGAGCACTGATGAAATGATGGTGTTCAGTGATTAGAGTTAACTGTGCCTCATCGAATCTTTGTTTTGGTGCTCAGTCTGGAAAGGTGTCAGCTGACAATACTGTGGGTCGCTTCTTGATGAGCCTGGTTAACCAAGTACCCAAAATAGCTCCTGACGACTTCGAGACCATGCTCAACAGCAACATCAATGTGAGTGTCATTCCTGGGCCTCTGGGAGCCTAGTTCTTCCCCCACCTCAGCACATAAAAATGTGAGAGGAGTTGGGTGAGGTGGCCTGGAGTAGGATAGAGGAGGCCGGGCTTCACCGATAGCCCCTTGCAGTCCAGCTTGGGAGGAAGGAAAAGATGGTACACGTGCTTGGAGATTCCCTTCTTTCTCGGTCCTTGATTCCATTGTCTCAGTTACTGCTGATACTACTGTGACATGTTGTCTAGATTCATGAGGAAAAGAAATGTTAAATTCAGAGGGCAATGAAAGTACAATTTCTTATTTTCCCCATCTGAGTTCACAGACCCCCTATATTCCACCCATGCATCTCAGTTACAGCACTCCTAGTATATAAGTGTATCGGTAGAGATGAGAAGATATTCTCAAGCATGTCCTTCCTATGTTCCACCTTTGACTCTTGTTCAGTCTCTTTCAGCTGTCATTTATCCAGGACTGCCCTCATACCCAGTATCCACCATGGAGCTGGCCTAGATCGGCCTTTCAGCTCCCTTTCCACCTAGCCCCTCGCTCACTGTGTATTCTTTGTCTTCCAGGACCTGCTGATGGTGACCTACCTGGCCAATCTCACACAGTCACAGATTGCCCTCAATGAGAAACTTGTGAACCTGTGAATAGGCCCCAAGCAGAA